TCTAATCGTCTTAAATTTTATTCCGGAAAATGTTTTGTTTTTTTCACAAGGCATGCACGGAGAAGCTGGAATAAAAAGAACAACGGTAGATCTCGACACCAACTTTTTATTTCCATTTCATTTTTCCATTACATTTTTTTTATTTTTGTCAATATTTATTTTTTGGTACTTTATCACGCAACTCTGAGGTCAGAAAAACTGCTTATAGGTCATTCTCAAATTTTATTGATCATCGTCGTCGAGATTGTCATCATCATCATCTCTATTAATATCTTCATCATAATTATTTTGTCATTGTCATCATCCTCATTATTCTCATTATCTTCATCATCCTCATCATCTTCATCACCATCATTATTAAGATGAAGACGACAAAGGAAACGGTTTCTTATTTACTATCTCACATGGTGAACAGAAACATCACACCCCCTCTCTTCAACCTCAACAAGGGTTTACTCACATCACCATTATCGTTTTCGTCATCGTTATCATCTGCTTCTTCGTTGCTGTCCCAATCATCTTTATCACCATTTTCATCGTCGTCATCATTATCATCAGCGTTATCATCAGCCTCATCATCTACGCTATTATCAATTCCTCATAAACTCTGCGTTGAACGCAACGATGCTGGGTGAAATGAAATTTTACCATAATTAACTTTAATGAGTTTTTAATTTTTGGTTGTTCATATTATAAACACAACATTATCATCATCATTGTCGTCGTCATCATCATCGTCATTATCGTCATCATAACCATTGTTGTCATCATCGCTATCATCAACATCTCCGTCATCACCATCTCTCACATCATCATCATCATCATCAGGTGATCACGTGGTAGTGCTGGTCAACAACATGGGATCAACAACCGACATTGAGATGAATGTGCTGGCCAAGGAAATACTCGTCCAACTATGTACGTCATTATTACGTCATTATTACGTCATTATTACGTCACAAACATTAGTGATAATAGCGAGAAGAAAAAAAAATAATGTAAACTTTTTTAGTTTGCAACTGAAATGATGTTTCAGTGGTGGCTGTTACGGTTATAGCAACAAAAACCGATCCAATTATTGTAACTGTTAATACATATGAAGTAAATACAAATTCACAACTAACATAAATTACGAACCTTAATGTTAAAATTTTTATTCTTCAACTTTTTTCACTAGGAAATGATATTGAAGTTACGAGTAGTTATTTCTTTCGCAACAAATTCGCTTGGTAGGTGATAATGTGGAAGTCCACGTTGACCGGATGTTCGTTGGAAAGTTTCTGACGTCACTGGAAATGTCCGGAGTGAGTATCACTATCATGATCACCAACGATTTGAAGAACTACTGTCTGGGTTGGTCTCGCGCCATGATGATGATGGCGATGATGATAACAAATAATGATGATGACGATAATAACAGATGATGATGATGGTGCTGATGAAAAGTGATGGTGATGACGACGACGATGATGATGATGATGACGATAATGACGATAAAATGACGATAAAATTTACATGACGATGAAATGTTAATCACAACACCATCATATTTGAATACGTTCAACATTGTAAATATATTATTTTAAATCTCCCCACAAGATTCAAAGACAAAGGCATTATCGTGGGTCCGACCAGTTATGATTGAAAAAGATGCACCAGAATGCGAAGTTGATGAATTAAAAAGCACCACAACCACCATCTCCAGCCACAATAACGGCGACAATCGTTTCAGCAGCAGATACAGTGCAAGATTGCTAGGAGAGAAACTGAATAACTTAAATTTGGGCGATACTTCATCATTGGGTGATTATGCCTCAGGGCCACAAATTGATGAAGGTCAGTACGTGTTTGGTTATGGTTTTTTTGGTATTGTTTCATATACAGCTCTAACAGAAACATGCAGTTACCTACAAAATAATTTTTTTATTTAATTGTAAATTGTTTGACTATTTGACTGTGAAAAAATTTATTTTGACGGTAATGTTGAAATCATTGATGAATCTGAAAATTTTTTATTTAGTGTAAGTGGTTTGGTGGTTGGATTAATGATGTCATTATTGTTACAAGAGCTACCATATTTATTAATAGAGTTGGTTTTCTAGAAAAAGTTTGAGTATTTACAGCATACAATAATTCGCTTACTTAAATAAAAAGGGCAAATTTTTAAAATAAAACATTTTGACAGATTAAAATTTAAGTTCTTATAAAATAATTTTTAATTTTTTTATTTTTCCCACCGTTCTAACGTTCAATTTTTTTAATCATTCTCATCATTTCTGCTTCTTCAAGATTCACACAAAACTTCACTCACGCACACACAAACACATTCACACACACGTACACACACACAAACACATTCACACACACACAAACGCACACAGCACACACACACACACACGACAGGTGGCCATAAAATCCTCATGAAATGTATACATGGTGTGAGCAACTCCCTGGTGGCCAACACTGGACTCCTTAACACCATGGATTCCTCGTGTGGTGATGGCGACTGTGGCCACACATTTGCGGCTGGAGCCAGAGGTAAACAAAGTTTGATGGCAAATTTGACACGTAAATTAATTCATATAAAAACAAATTCACATACAAGCGTAAACACGTACATTCACTTGTTTACACATACATTAATACGTACTATACGTACGTTTTATATTAATACAAACGAAACGAAAAATGAGTGAATAAATATATGAATGAATGAATGAATGAATGAATGAATGAATGAATGAATCAATCAATCAATCAATCAATCAATCAATCAATCAATCAGTCAATCAATTAATGAATTCTCAATACTGAATGATCCATTCAACTAAGGAATGTACAAAATGATGAGTGATGGAAAACTGAATGGAGTTTTTAAGCTGAAGAAAATAATGGAAATTCTCTCAGAGACGGTTGAAGACAGTATGGGAGGAACGTCTGGAGGGGTGAGTTTTGGTTGGAAATTGAAAATTTTGAATAAGGATTGTTTATGTTCGTCAGTGTAAAATTTTCCTAGATGAATTAAACTAGTGAACGTTTTCTAATTTTCATAATTGAATAACTTTAGAGCCAGATTTCAGTGGAGTTGAACATATTTCATAACCACTGTTAAATTGCTGAAAGCTGAAAAATTCAATAAATATTTAATTTAGCTAAAAATGTGGTTGGTGAAAATTCTATTGATTACACACACATACACACGTACATACATACGCACGTACATTCAGACGCACGCACACACACACGCACGCGCACACAGATATACAGTTTACTATTGACGGCTATATCGCAAGAAATGGGCACAGAGACCAAGCCAACCGCAACGAATGAGACGTGGGCCAGAGGGCTGGTCAGGGGCATGGAGAGCATCATGAGGTGATGTGCCGATGACGACGACGATGATGGTGATTTGAATGGTGATGGTGATAATGATGATGTGAAGGGTGATGATGATGATATGATGATAATTAGAATGATGAGGATGAAGAGGAAAATGATGAGGAAGTTGGTGATGATGATGATGAAGAAGATGACGAAGAGAATGGTGATTCTAATGATGAGATTAAAAATGACGATAGAAATAATAAAAATTATTGAGATGAGAATGAATGTTGAAGTGGTATTCATAGTCTTTATGATCTAAATTTTTTGAAAAAATTAAAAAATTAATGATGATAGCATTTAAATTTTTATGATATCCAAACTGAAGAATAGAATTATTTGAAATTAATTAAAAGGAAGAGGAAACGTTTGCAATTGTTAATCAAAATTTAGATAGATGACTAAAATAAATAAGAAAAGCCATTATTTTGAAAAATGTTATATAAATAGGTGCTGATAAACAAAATGACTAAATGACGATGATGAAAATGATGATGGAAACGAAGTACATAACCGACAGAAATGATTAAAATAATGAGAAAAATAAAAATAGCACGTAAATTTAAAAAAAAATAATTTAAAATAGTTAATTATAAAATGTCGGGTTTGAATTCTGACGAAAAGTTATAATTGTATTTATATATTATTTATAAGATAATGAGATGATCACGATGGTGGTGGTGATGATGATGATAAAATTTTAATTTCAGATATGGCGGGGCTGGCCCGGGGTCAAGGACAATGGTGAGTAATTCTACATATTCTTAGTACCATTCATATCATTGTTATTTTTATTGCTAATGTTAATATAATTCTGTATCAATTATTTTGTGCAGATTAAAATGATCATATGCAAAAACTCATTCATTCACTGACTAACTGGCTGGCTGGCTGGCTGGCTGGCTGGCTGGCTGGCTGGCTGGCTGGCTGACTGACTTAGTAATAGCAATGAAGCGATTATGTATTAGTTTATTATTAAACACGAGAACTAAGAAAGGCTCGATGTGATAATGTTGATGAATAATTATTGTTGTTGCAAGTGGCTTAGATTCATATTTGTATCAACACCGCCGTCGTCGTCGTCATTTTCATATTAAATTCTTCTTTATATTTTTTGTAATTTTTTCCCTCTTCCTTCTCATCATTATCATAATTATCATTATAATCATCATCACCATCAGGTCCATCGCCATCATCATCATCACCACCATTATCAATATCATCATCAGCAGCCGCATTATTATTATTATCATCATCATCGACATCATCATTATCATAACTAGCTGGACCCCCTTCATGCACTTTGTACTTTCCTGGACAAGGAATCTCACAACACGGACACCGTTACTCTCTGGCAAAACGCTGCTAAGGTTATCCTTTCGTTGCTGCTGCTGCTACTACTGCTGCTGTCTTTGCCGCTGCTGATGATTTTGATTTTATCAACGTTGTCGTTGTTTGTTCGATGCTATTGTAGTTATTTTTGTTGCTCTTCATGCCATATGTACGCAGACCCCCCCCTTCTCTCTCTCTCTCTCTCTCTCTCTCTTTTTCTCTCTCTCTCTCTCTCTTTCGCACACACACACAACACACACACACACACACGCAAACGCATACAATAGGTAGTAGATAAAGAGACAAAGAGAACGAAGAACATGGAGGCAAAAGCGGGAAGAGCGGCTTATGTACGTCGGGAAAACCTCATCTACCCGGATCCCGGGGCGCATGCGTTCTTCGTCGCCCTGACGGCCATCGTCAATGTTCTCGTAGATAGCAAAAAATATTTTGAGTAATTTTTGTGGGGTTTTTTGGAATTTTTTTGCGGTTCTATCAATTATTTATATTAAATTGTTTTTTTTTTAATTTTATTCTATCAACGTTAATTGAGAACGATGTTTTGAATGATTTTTTGGTTTAAAAATATATCGGCTTTTAAGAATGTGTATTTTTAAGTTTGTTGTAATGTTTCATGAAGCGTTGGTATGTAGGAGAGCATATTCGTATGGGAAGGTTTTAGTTCCACGTTATTTCAATTTTTTTTAAACCTAAGTTTTTTAATTTAATTAAACTGTAAATTTAAAAAATCAAATTATTTTGCACGTTAAATTTGTTTTGTGGAGATTATTCAATCGCATTTGTAGTGTAATCAATATTTCATTTATGTGAAGTTCAACGAACGATTATCTATTATAAAAGAATGAATCTATTAATTTTATTTAGTTTTTAAAATTGAAATGTTATTCTCGCCAGCATATCAATTACTTTTGCAATATTTTAATAGTAGAGCTATATTATATTTAATTCGTCTGATTCCACGAACAAGTTTAATATCCTAGTAACAGTCATATTAATAGTAGTAGTAGTAGTAGTAGTAGTAGTAATAGTAGTAGTAGTAGTAGTAGTAGTAGTAGTAGTAGTAGTAGTAGTAGTAGTAGTAGTTGTTGTTGTTGTTGTTGTTGTTGTAGTAGTAGTAGTAGTTGTAGTGGTAGTAGTAATTGTAGTAGATTAGTGGTAGAAGCGATGGCAATAATTTTTTATTCTTATCGTATTGCACCAATATTAACAATTATTATTAACAAAGAACAAGATATTAAAATTAAGTGCTCGAAAATAAATTTGAATTTGACTGAAACCGGAATATTTTTACGAACTGATTACACATAGTTGTCGACCATCCCGAATTGGGGGTACAGTCCCGAATTTTGCCCTCAGTGTCCCACGCCTCGATTCGGTGTCCGCGGGACGCGTGTTTGCCCCACTTTTTGCTCAACCAAGAACCAGTATTGAAATAGTAAAATATTGGCATTTAATGGTAAATTTAAAAAATTTAAGCACACGAACACATACAAAGCGACGATTTCTTTGAAGTTTCTAACACATCTACATCAAAGAAACACAACACCCACACAAAATAAAATTAAACGATTATATAACTAAATATTTATATCAGTAAGATGATAATAACGCGGGTGTATCAATAATAATGACGATACGATGATACAATGATGATACAGCGTCATAGATAGAGCACTGTTGATAACGATGGCGATGATGACAACGATGACGATGATGACAATGAATATAGACGGATACATATCAGCATGACATGACGTCATCGGAAACACCGAAAACCATGTTGATGTTTATGTATTGGGATCAATGCTAGTAATATTAAGACATCAAAAATAGGCAGACACCCGCCTAAGCACAAATCTGCTTCAAATTACATCAACTCGACATATCATTTTATAAGCAGGCTTGATCGTCAGTCATGCTTACAACATTAAATAAAGAATCCACACAATCACACATTATACGGAAACATGCGTAATCACATGCAAACAAACGAACAAAAAATCACGTACACACACACATCCATACTCACACATACAACGCCCATACAACGCCCCATACAAATTTATTAATAAAATTAAACTTTACACACGTGCAAGTATCTACACAAATGTACTTGTATAAAGATAATTAAATTACACATACATGAATGTCTGTGTGTATGCGTATTTCCGTGTTGCCTGCTTCTTTATGTGTGTGTGTGTGTGTGTTTGTGTGTGTGCTTACTTGACAATCTGTTAAACCTATTAGCGTCGCAGGCGATATAATTCAATTTCAAATGCCAAGTGAATGATCGCTATAAACTCAATCCATTCGTTCAATTATATTTTTAAAAGTTCCATTTTCAATAACAATATATGAATGATTATTTTTATTTTAATGATATGAATAAGCTGCAAGGATGAACTGTTGCTTGCTGCCCAAACAATTCTTGCTTCATTAAATTTTTTATTACTTAAAATGAACTGAGCAATAATTTTTTGAAATTTTAAATTTTATTAAGTAAAGTCAAAACTGTTAGAACTAAATTACAACCAACGTCAGAGTATTTTAAAAAAGTTCTCAGAAAATTTAATGGTTTTAAAATTATTAATTAATATAAAAATTATAATTTTCATTATTAAACCACATAATATGAACGGCGCGATGGTATAACGGTAAAATGCCTGGCACTGGTATTCCAGTGACCGGATTCGATTGCAAAGAGATCCCCGCCTATCACATGATGCTTACGTGCATTCACATGCGCTGTGTGTTTGTTGTTGATGCTTCTGAGGAATGTTGAAAACAGAATTGTTATAAATAAACAGATTCGAAATACTACAACGATGTATACACCGTACAAAACAGACAGACACACACACACACACACCACACACACACACGCAAGTATTATTATTTTATAAACCAGACACTGAAGCAACAACTAGTTAACTGGTTGACGATGAACGGTTTAAAATATATCAATGCTTACTGATAAGTGAGAATAATAATAATAATTACAATCATTATTATTATAATTTTAGTAGTAATATTTATAAATAATATTATTATTTCTATTATTATTTCTATTATAATTATTTTTAGTTTCTTACACGTTATAATTATCAGTAAAATAGTTATTTCAATAATTAGGCCACTATAATAAACTTGACGTTCACACAACTTTTTTATGTTTGTATTTTTTCATTTTTTATTATTTGTATTATTTTGTTTTTCAATATTATTATTCGTTATTGTTGTCGTTATTTTTGTTTGTTTTGTTGTTCAATATTAATTTCGCAGACGCGGGCAAGTTTGAAAGATAATACTATTTGCAGTGTGTCGACTTGGATTTCCAAACATACATCTGTGTGTATGTATTGTACATTACGACATGTGTGAGTATGTGTGTGTGTGTGTGTGTGTGTGTGTGTGTGTGTGTGTGTGTGTATTTTACATTAAAATATGTGCGAGTGTGTATGTATTGTACATTAAAATATGTGCGAGTTTGAGTTTGTGTGGTGTGTGTGTGTGGTGTGTGTGTGTGTTGACTTGGATTTGCAAACATACATCTGTGTGTATATATTGTACATTACAAAATGTGTGTGTGTCTTTTGTTTGTGTATTTTGTTATGTACACTCATTTGCATGACGCGTATATGTGGATTTTGTCAACTTTTTGTTTATATTTACAATTTACATATTAGCGTGTGTTTGTATGTGTGTCATTAATTCGTTTTTCATTTCGTATTCTTGCGTACGTATGAATATAATAACAATGTATGTGTGTGTGTGTGTGTGTGTGGTGTGTGTGTGTTTATGATGTATGTTTGTATAAAGAAATTCTCACGATGACTGTTATCAATGCGGGCTCGAGCATCTTAATCGTACGATGAATATCTTTGTTATGTAGGCAATAGAGGTCTACATGGAAAATTTCCCGCAAATTTTCCCGCAAATACCCGCGGGAAAACTGCGGTTTTGGAACAGAAGTTGGAGGGAAACTCGCGGGGCGGGAATGAAAAGCGAGGGGATATTTTTCGTGCGGGAAGTACCGCGGGACGGGAAAAATTTTAGAGGGAAAACCGCAGTTTACTTGACTTTGATGGCGAAGTTCCAAAAATGTTGAAAATTAATGAGAAACTTCATAGCTTGAACAGCAACGCAATTGAAAAATTTAGATTATTATTACTATGTTTAAAGCTAAGCAAGCTCACAGATGCATATGCATTACGCTAAATAATATTCATTGTGTTATGTGCAGGGCACTATTTATTCTATTTGTTTTTGGGTGATAATTAATGTATAGTGTGACTTTCACTGTGACGTGCTTTTTTGTTCGTTCAATACGTTTCAATTCGTTTGGTTATAAAACGTTATATTTATTTTACGTAATAAATTGGTATACGTACATTACGCTTATTGTTTTCCATTTAGTTTGTGTTTCAACTCTTCAAAACAGCAAAACAACATTAAGTATGCAGCTTGAATACAGAATCTGTCTTTATCAGCTGTTTACACAGATAAATACGTGATCAGCGAGTTCTATTTTCATTTTGTTTTTTTTTATTTCGACGACAACCTCGTGTTAGCAGTTTAGTAAATATGGACAAATCGGCAGTCAAGAAAGTTAATATCTTCCAAAAGTCAGCGAATAACGTATTTATTTTCTCAACAGTCAAGGAGTGGTATAAAATTTACAAACAATTTACTGAAACACTAACATTAACCAGTATTCTTGTTTGTTTTTATAATAAAAATTGTACATAGAATGTACTACATTCTATGTACAATAGAATGTACTACATTCTATGTACAACTGACTAAGGTTACTTTATTGTCTTTGTTAATAATGATATAATTATTGAGGGAATGAGTGCGGGAAAATGAGGATTTGTGAGGGAATGAGTGCGGGTGAGGGAAGACTTGTGAGAGAATGGGTGCGGGTGAGGGAAGACTTGTGAGGGAATGAGTGCGGGTGAGGGAAGACTTGTGAGGGAATGGGTGCGGGTGAGGTAAAATTTATTTTCAGGAGGGGCGGGTGAGGGAATAGAAATGTGTTCCCGCGTAGACTTCTAGTAGGTAAGCAAGCGTGGCATTTAAGAGGGCTCACAACACGCAGCATACGTTTCTACAAACATGAAAACTATTGTCTTGGTATGTCTGTTTGTGTGTGTGAGTGTTTGTGCGTGTATGTGTGTATGTGTGTGTGTTTGTTGAGTAAGTTGTAATGATAGATTGCAGTATTGAGTTGCGTTGAAACTTATAACTTTTTAAAATTTTATAGTTTTTCGTTTAAATTTAGTCTGTCTGAAAATTTTTAGCCAATGTTAGATGTATGCAATGTGTATTACATTACTGTATTGTCTGTTGTGTGAATTTGTATAAAATGGTTGAGTGTGAATGTGTAGTGTTAAATGATCCACACAAATGATCCACACATCATGTTCTGTAGATTAAAAATAGCCCGGGTCATTCAACTTTTCATCACATGGCATTGTATTCAATAAAGACGGCATAATACATCCTAATCAACGCTTAAAACGCAGTACATTCTTAACAAGTTAAACACAAATGCAATACAAAGATCAATAAGTTGAATTCAAAACCAATAACAATACAAATAATATATATATAATGTATAACAAGTCAGTACATAATACAAAAAAACAGTATCTCTAATATACACACAAGTAGATGTGTTTTCTTTAAGGGCCTGGAAGGAGGTGTGTGTGTGTTTGTTTATTGTTTTTGTTGTGTGTATATGTAAGTGTGTGTGTTTGTTTGTTTGTTTGTGTGTGTTTGTGTGTGTGTGTAAATACAAATATGCCGATACGTATATACTTAAATTAATACATAATTTACAATAAAATTTCATCCAATCTCTAAACAAACATAAATTTCTGTGTTTATATAAGAAAAATAAAAAATATTAATATACTTTAGTGTTATAAATTCCAGCTACTGTTATAAGACTTTGTAAACGAAGGATCACAAAACAAGCCGGTGACTATTTCATTCTGGCTCGACTCAACTTTTTTTAGGTTTTTCTCGTCTTCTAAAACAACGCTACGATTGGAAGTTTTCATATTTAGGGCATTTAACACATAGCATTATCACGTGAATTTAAATAGAGATAAATGACACGAGTATTAACATTAACGTAAAACAAATTTTATTTATTTTAATTCGAATCTCTCTTCAATATTTTCTAAAACATCGCCAGCAGACACACATGCGCACGTATTTAAATACAAATAGTTGATAGATG